TTTCTTTGATTTTGATAATTTAACCGAGTTATTTCTTGCCTTGCGAAACTCAACTTGGCCTGTATTTGTGTGAATTGATCGACTCCATAGCTTGTCATCTTGAAAAGCAACAATGATACGTTCTACAAAAAAGCCAAGTAACCGATGTTTATTTCAAATGTGAACTCTAACTAGGGACCACGGTGGACGCCAAACTATTTATGCCAAAATTTACACTAAATATAATTTAAGGTTTGTTTATGAATCTTTTGCAATTAAAGATCAACCACTGTGAAATAAAACACGATAAAACAAGGAAATAATAATTAAAAGGGACAAAGAAACTGGTGACGTGGAAAAACCCTTTAGTGAGGGGAAAACCCACAGACGATATTGGAGATCGTCGATGCACTATGGACGTCAGTCAGGGACGTCGTCCTTGGGAAAAACAATTAAAAATGATGTAAGTGAATTGATACGTCGGTCATGGAAAATAGTAGTAAACAAGAATTACTATTTGGTTTTTTATCTCGTTGTACGTATAGATTCTGATGTAGATCCTTTTTCTTGAAATTTTCTAGCCTTTTATACACGACTTTTTTGAGTGTTCCAACGGTCGACCTTTAACAAGCTTTAATAAAGATAACGTTTAGACTTAAATGTCTTCGATCTTTGCCTTCGGTTATAATCTTCATTGTTAATGATTGAACTTAACCTTTATTCGTGCACTAAAGACCACATATAACGGATTTCATAATTAATGTGCAGTAACATGCGTTGTTAGTACGATGTATCGAGGATAATAACGATCGTAGGTAATTAATCCTTGACCAAGGGTTGAAGGTTCTACGGTCATAAATAACCATGATCATAGGTAGTAAATTCGATGGTTGTATGATTCTTGGTCACGAACGTCATGGTCAAGGATAATATCCTCAACGGTAGAAGGTGTGAATTTTTACCAAAACAGTACCCATTTTAACCTAGTGACCATAATTTTTAGTCACTGAAAGTTCTGACCGTACTAACCTGAACTCAATGACCATTATTTTTTTCCACTAATCTTTTCAACTTAATGACTACTATTTAGGTCACTAAATAGATTTTTTATCATTAGTGATGGAAAACACAGTAGTCACAAATTGTAGTTATTAAATTAGATCAATTTGGGGGAAAATTGTCATGAGAATTATTGACCAAATTTTAATTTTTGTCACTAAATTTCTACTAGTGACCAAATTTCTAATGACGATCTTTTTTTATCTATACTATATTATAAAGTATTTGATAAAAACTCTTAAAAATCATTTTTTATTCATGAAGTACAATATATTAATGCATATTACTTAAAATTCAAAATTACAATTAAATTATCCATAAGTACAACTTATCAAAGATTCATGTATGAATTCGTGTAACTAACTACGGATAAACATAATCAAATAGAGGATAAACATCTCATTTTAAAATATAAAAAATCTAAAATATAATTAGGATAATTATCAAGTTCTAACAAAATAATTAATTATCTTTATAAGAAAATTATATTATTAAACTAAATATAAATAACTTCATTATTGAACCTAAATTAAATTGAATTAAAAAAATTATACAAAACATAGGAATTTTAAATAGTTAATTTGATACTAATATCGATATATTTTTTTGTCATTTTTTATGATATTTTCAAATTTATATTTTATTCAAAAATAAAAACATTATCGCTTTTTCAAAATCACATAAGACCATACTATAATATCGACTAAGATAAAGAATAAAATAAAGTATTAAAAACAAGATGTGTCTCCCTGTATTGCGCGAGTACCCTTCTAGTTGTCACTAACGTCAAAGTTAGTGACTAAAATATAAGTAATCACTAAAGTTTTGGTCACTAACAAGGTTTTTTTTGTAGTAATTATTTCTCTCGAAACTAACTTATAACAATTAGATTAATTGAAAGTTGATCAGGATCACAATAGCATTAGACACAAATTTATATGCTTCATTAATTGGAAAACCTAATAAAAATCACAACTTTACGTGCTCATATACTACAAATCAAAACTCATTCAACCCCCAACATCTAAAAATTAGTTCATATTGAGGTGGAAGAAAACAAAACAAAAAAGGGAAATCATAAGTTTAGACATGACTTCTCAATCAAAATATAAATCAAAGTAAGAACTCCCCTCCGATGATGAATCTCCATGAACAATTAATAATTATGGCTTCAGATATTCAATCTCGATGTTAATCCCTGGTTTTCATGACTACAAATTGCCCAAGAGGAATATTTTTCCATATGGTGTGCAACCTTGTTTTTTCAACACTAGTTGGAAGGTAATTATCTAGGATCCAGAGGGTGCCATGACTTTCATGCAACCTAGGTCACGAGATTGGTCTCTCATATAACTTTGAAAGTCGTGGCTTTGAGCCCGAGGAAAAGGTTGCCTGAACTACTGTCTGGTCTTCTTTTTATGCTTCCTTCTAGCTTAAAGTTTCTTCATTGACAATATTGAGCTCTACAATGGTTCTCAAATGCACTATATTTGAAAAAGCTTCGTTAGAGGTATCAAAGACTCAGTTTTCTCGACTCTTGCTCTAAGTTTGGTTCCTTTCTAAAACTCGAATTAAACTGTTAAAATATGCTTAAATTCACTTAGAAACACAACGAAAACTACTGAAAAGTGATATAAAATTACATTAGAAATGATGTTATCACACAGATTTTTGAAATAGAGTCCTATAGAAAAAAGCTTATACAACAATTTGTTTTAAAAGAGTTCTAAAAAACTTGTTAAGACATCGAGAATCGCCCTATACACCTGTTACATCACCTTTATAAATGGCACTTTAATGTTTGCACTTATACACTTATGTCCTACAAAATACTATTCTATTAGGACATTTAAACAATTTTGACATCCTATAAAACTCAATTTTGTTCGTGTGACCATTATAATTTGTGAACGCACATTGTGAACATACTCTATAAATCTATGAGATTTGATATAATTTCTTAACATAGTGTATATACATATGTGTGTGTATGCACGCACGCATGCACGCACGCACATAATTATTTACAAGTATGGTAAAAGGTACAAACTTACAAATCAGTTTTTGTGTTGTTTCACTTATGAAACAATATGTACGAAATTGCAGTGTTTATACATTGTTTTTCCATATGTGAAACGTTCATGACTGTTTTGTATGTGAAAATAATATTCCTAAACACTTGCCATATAAAACAAACACATGAGACTAGGTTTACGAGTATGAATTATTAGGTTTGTAAAAAAATAAGATTCTCTATACACAAAGTTTCAAAAGGAAACAACAAAAATGTTTGAAATGTAAACATATCTCAACTATCAGATAGATTTGAGTTATGGGAGATGTGATTATAGAAGTAGTTGAAAACTTTATTTTTGGAACTAAAAAGATTGCATTCTATTTTTGAAATGAAAAATAAAAAATATAACTAAAATATTTTATATATTCTCTTTAACTTCATATTTATTTTGTTAAAATTTTCAAACTGTTTTTTCATCTTAAGTATCCACATTTGCATCCTCCTTCTTTTCATTTTAGGCCTATAAGAACACTGCGAATTTCTTAGATGAGTTTTGCTTTTATCTCGTAACACCTTCACAACAATAAACAATACCGAACCTTCACATTAGAAAAGAACTTTTTTATAGGAAAAACATTGAACCTACATAACGTAACATGCACAATGAAACTTTAACACATTGAACCTTTCATTGGATGAACAACCCGAATCTTTACATGTCTCAAGAGTCTCGTGAAAACTGAATGATGTCACTCGAAACCAACGCTATATACATAATATGTGTGTATGTATATATGATTATAGTTCTTATGAACATACGCTAATTCAACCATGGCATCTCTTATTGTTTTAAAACCCATGATTTTTGATCTATTCTTTTAATAGTCAGACCTGTTGGAGCAATTGTATGTATAAGAGCAGAGGAAAAAACTGAACTTTTTACTGCACGTCTTATTGATAAAAAACGATGCTACTTAAATAAAAAAAAAAAGTAACGGAAAACCCAAGAAAAAAGCATAACTGAAATTTCTAATAAGTACTACCATTATTTCCTAATAATACTCCAGGAGTAACATCTTGACAAGGCCAATCTCCATTTAGCCGTTAGAGATCTTTTCCATTTGAATTACATGCTTCAACAAGACCAAACGGTTTTGGCATAATCTGATGAACTTTTCCTTCGGAATTGATGTCATCTGATGTGTTATGTATAACAACAATAACAAAGGATATTTATAGCGGAAGTTTGTATGACCACTCCAAAACACAATCTGAAGTAACAAAATGAATGGACTATATGAGATTTCCATGTGTTCATCTTTCTATTCTGTCTAGTCAATCGATGATGAGGTGTGAGAAGGTGATTGGTGGACAAAAGGAGAACATGAAGTTTAATGACCGATGATTTATATTCATATTTGTACCTGTGTTTCCTGCCGGCTGTGTGAATGAGTCCTAAATCACGATAGCCCTTATGCCATGTTGAGGCCAACATACCTTAACCACATTTGACCCTTTTGTTATAAATAATACGATACAGAATGAGACTGTTCTACTAAGTTACAGTCGATCAAGTACAACCTTGTGACTTGCAGTACTCGCTTGTTTTAGTTTCCTTTAAATTAATTAGTATCAGCGTTCAAAAAAGTTTGGCAGTACGTTCTGATTGTTGAGACAGTGGTTGAGGTCAAGTTGATATTGATACGTTGGACAAGTGACTACATAGTTTCTTGTCTGACAAGAATTTTAGACGTTTAAGATCATTATTTATTCGCTCCCAGCTAAACATATGAAGACAACTCGTGTGAAACGGCAGGTACACCCCATGTTACCAAGGGCCCTAGTACACTAGAATTTCCAAATTGCCACTAACTAAAATGGAAGATTATGAAATATTCTGACCCCCCCCCCCCTCCTATGTGGTTTAAAAGCAAATCGAGTTCATGGAAATGTTTAATTTAGCATGTTTAGTAATGCAACTGTAACTGATTAAAATAATAACTGATGGAACAATCACAAGTTTCCTACATGCACGTTCAAAGTTCTTTTGGAGAATCTGATCTGAACTCGTATGATTTTCTTTTCAAAAATCCACCAAAAATAATCGATCAGTTCCCCTGGAGTTTGGAGGATCCACCACGCATATGAGTTGCCTGAGTTGATGAATCCATTTCTGGATCCAATGAGCCTACGTTGATATGAGCTGGGCGTTGTTGTTGTTGCTCTACCTGCGAGTAGCCCACACCTAGAAAATCTAGAGTCGTTCTATTGGAATTTCCAACACTTAAAGAGAAGTTCTGTGGATTGAATTTTCCAGCCTCATTCATGTTCCCAAAATTCATGTTTCTATTTTGATTCCCACCGTACCCACCAAACATTGAGGAGGCACCACCACTGCTAAGAGAATTCATTAGTCCTTGCAGCTGATTATCGCTCTCCATCTCTGATTGCAAGGCCTGGTCTCCTCTAGCATCAAAGTTGGAAGATAGTGTTTGTCGACCAGTGTGCGATTTTCCATCACCACCACCAACACCGCTCTTGGAAGAGCTTCCAAAGCTTTTTAACAGTGTGGTGGCATTATTGTTGCTTGTGGTTGAACCCATCTGAGCTGCCTTCTGCAGCAAAGCGGTAGCAGACATGTGGGGTGGCATTTGATTTTCCTGATGCGGATTATTGCTGTTGAGGAAAACACGATCATGACTGCCACCTCCGTTGTTAAATTGATGATCAGGTATCATGAAACCAGTAGACGACATATTTGTATCATTGTTTTGGCTATTGTTCTCACTGTTTTTCAAACCATTGGTGGGATTACTACTGCCTGAGAAGAATCCTAAGTTGAAAAGATTTGGAGAGATTTTTGTAGTGTTGCTATGAAGGTCAGGAAGTTGCATCAACCCATGAATATTTGGCTTGTTTGCCATTAAACCATGTTGCTGCCTTTGTTGTTCATAATCAAAAACATGGTTCAACCCTTGGTTTGAATTTGATATAAAGAAAGGAGATGAAGAGTTCGGCATTTGTTGCTGCTGGGTTTGTGAGAATAGAGTTGTTTGACTTGGTGGGAGCATGACTTGTTCAAAATTGGCACTCCCTAGACTTAACAAGTTTGTCGTAGATGATTGATGGTTCTGGTCATGTAACTGGGAAATCTGTGATCCAACTTGAGAAAGACCTAAATTCATAGAATTACTAAGATGGCCTCCAAAAAGATGGCTACCAATAGTGCCAAGGGCCGACGGATGCCTTGCACTCTCTTGAGCGAGTGCATCACAAAAAGCGCGGTGTGTGATAAAACTGTCCCGCCTGCAAAAATCGTTGATCACGGAAGGCATTGCATTAGGTCATTAATTAATCATATACACGTATATATGCATTCCATATAGGTAAAAGACGCAATGAAAAGGACATGAAATGATACAAATGTGTGTCATTCGTCAAAATGGAATCTAACTGTTGAGGCAACAATATTTCTTCCTGTATCCATCACAAGATGATGACGATGGTGTCTGAGACTGCGTATGGCTATAATTGTATCAAGGACGAAGTGTCAACATTTGAAGGTGTAAAAGGGTGTTATATAATTTCAGATTTAAAGAAATGCTATATGAACTACTGGGTAAGAACTTGTCTGTAAAAAAGTTGGCTGTTGTCTAAATTGAGTATTTTATTCCATAAAGGAGCCTTAAAAATCAAAAGATTCCCTATTACTGTTGTCTGCAAGTGTTTCCTCAATTCTGATGTAAAAGATAAAAATGGTTAATCGTCACATTTCTGTAAATCATTGGGCACATCTCTTTTCGTTTTTTTCTTCATTTTCACAAAATATTCGATAGAGAGACAGACAGCCCGCAAGAAGCAAGAGGGTAGCAGTTGTGTGGATGTATCCACTCCATAAGACAACAAATATACAGCAAAGACCCTCACCGTTACCATTGTCTACTGACATCCACGTGACTACAGACTACCTCCCAAAAAAACATCTTGTAAGGTGGCGTATTTCCCTAGAAATTATAGCATCTTATCAGGCTAGAAACACACACTCAAACACACAGTGGAGATGGTTGAATTAACTAATGATCAACGGAATAATTCCAAGAATTATGCTCAACTGACCCATGTAAGAATTTATGAAAATTTTAGTTTTGAAAAACAAAGAATGAAGAGAATTAGTGGAAGGAAATGTACAAGACCTTGAGAAGAGGGTGCCACAGTCGCATCGGTATTCACGGGTACCACAGGTTTTCGAGTGAGCTTTCCAGTCGGATTGGACTGCATATTTCTTGGAACACTTCTCGCACTTGTATTTCTTCTCACCGTGCTTTCTAGAATAGTGTTTCTTGATTCCAGTGAGGTCTCCTAATGCACGAGAAGGGTCGTGGTGGACACATGAAGGCTCCGGGCACAGATAAACCTTCCTCTTCACTTCTTTGTTACTCTTTTGCTTGAGCTTCCATGGCAGGTTGTGTCCTCTTCTGTGGAGTTGCAAGTTTTGTTCCCTTTGGAAGCCTTTGTTGCAAACTTCACATATGAACCGGTTTGTTGCCATTAGAGTCTTTGGTGACAACGCTATCACCTCCGCATCTGGATCTGTTGTTCGGATTTTATTCAAACAGAACCCAAAGTTATGTGGGAAAAACAAAAAAGGGAAGAAGAACAAATCTTGAATGCTAATATACAAAAGAAGTAAAGATATTAACATGTAGTCATACAGAAAGCAACGAAATTACATGTATTTAGCTCATGAAATCTTGGTCACACATGCTTCAAGAAGAACTACGATCAGTGATAGTGAGTGGAAATCATTATTTTAAAAATTAGGGTTTTCCTTGAAAGATTTAGTCATAGAAGGATACACGGAAAATATAAAAGTAAATACCAAATCAAGTGATTGCTTCTCTACTTCACAACTTAACATCATCAATGGTTTCATTGACTGAAAAAATGGGTATCTTTTTCCAGAAAGAAGGTAAAATGAAAAAAGTTTCAACAACCGAAAAGAATGAATTTAGTTAAAGAGAATTTAATAAAAGAGATTTGTTTGGGTACTTGCTTGGAGTTCCTGGAAGGCTTCTCTTCTTCTTCTGTTGGGCTGCAGCTGATTGAATGGTTGAAGAAGATGTAGGCACAGAAGAAACATGTTGTTCTTCTTCTGATCTTCCTCCGAAAAACGACGTCGATGAAGAGGCTGCTGCCATTTCTTAGAGCAAAACCAGTTTGGTTCGATCCGAGGATTAAATCCTTAACTCATCACCACCCACATCAGATTTAACAAATCTTTCAACATAAACTTCCTGCAAGAACTAAAAGAACCCGAAAAGGACATGGTTACATCTTACATATGGAACCAAGAGAAGAGAATATCATGAGACAGCTAAAATCCGTATTCAAGAGGAGAGAAAAAAAAATTCAATTCATGGACTGTATAATAAGACCTGTTTTTTTTTCCTTCTCCTGTGCTTGGATCAATTTTCCTCCTCTTCTTTTCATATAATAATAATTAACTTTGTTTGGCAGCCTCTATTTCCTTGTTCTTCAATTATTTGTTGTTATCTTGTATATATACAAACAAACATATAGAAATACATACATACATATATACATACATGCATGCATACATACATACATACATACATATACATACAATATAGAGAACTCTCTCTCTCTCTCTCTCTCTCAAGTAATTCCTGATTTTCCTCACCAATTTGCATACAAGAGAATAATATAATGATATAGAGTAAGAAGTTACTTATTTTGAGAGGTGGTGGGGGAGGGGGGGTTGCTGTCCATGCAGCTCAGAGGCTGGACTAGGGTTGGGGTGGGGGGTGGGGAATCACACATCTGCCATCTCTTCTTATTTTCGTATCTTTTCTACATTTCATCAAGACAACACACTCTTCCGTCACTCTTTGCTTTTCTATTCTCATCCCTATCTTTAACTTCATTTCCGAAATCAAAGGGTATAATAGAAATACTTGTAAATGTTTTCCTTCAATTCAAATTAGTGACTTTTTACACAAGAAGAATCTCAAATGCTAATTTTATTTGAAGCTGACGTAAAACAGATATATTCTTTGCATAAACACTAGATACATAAATTCATTTTATTCAATCTTCAACTGGGGTTAACGTCTACCCAAAGCTTACTTATTGATTATAGATCTCCCTACAAGACTAGATACTTTTCCATGCTCTCCTTTCTATATCATATATTTTTTACCCATCCAACCAAACGAAATGAAACGTAACCCGTGAATGCACTACAATAAAATCAAGTTTGTAGGATGCCAATAAATTTTAAACGTCGTAATAAACCGTTCTACAAGACTTAATTTATTGGAACAAAAAATAAAACATTCAATCTAAAAGCGTCTTAATGAGTTTATAAGACGCTTTTAGGTGTTTTAATAAGTTTTTAGAACATTTTTTTATAACAAAGTGTCAAATTAGCAATTTTATAGTACATTATTTGAAACATGTACTATAAAAACAAGTGAATTATAAAATATGGGTTTATAGGACATTTTCAAAAAAAATGTCCTATAAAATTGCTGAGACATTTCATATTAAAAGTGTTTTAAAAAAACTTGTTAGGATGTCCAAACGCGTCCTATAAACTAAGTACAACGTCTTTAGATATAACGTTTTATTTGTTGGTCCTATAAATTTAGGTTTATAAAATAATTTATTAGGATGCTTAAAAATTGGTGTCGTCGTATAAACTCAATTTTGTTTTAGTGATGTAAGGTTAATTAGTAGATGGAGATGCTCTCTTATATATATATATAGATATATAAAGGTTGATTCAAATACTAACCAAAACTATTGTGCAAACTATGCTAACCAACATCAACTAATCATGTTCCATCTTTTAGTTAGGTTCAAATGTAACTTACATATTAATTGTAAGGGTATTTAGGTAATTTATCATTCTTATGTAACTCCCAAAAATTTTAGTTGGGAGTTACAAATCTTAAATTATCACTAATTCATCTTCATGTAATAATGACATGAAGTTTCATATGTGTTCATCTTACTGAATTTTACATTTATTCTTCCTATAATGGTTTTGATATTGTAAATTTGAAAAAGTCCATTTTGTAAAGATTCCGTTATAGTCCGAGTAATATGGATAATCATAGAATAAAACGGATCGACGACAATGAGAATGAAAAAGCTAAAAGCGTTTACGAATACATTAGGAATTCGAATTCCGAAAGTGAAGAAAATGATCAATAAGTGTTCCAATATCAACATACGATAGCTATGAACACGCTAATGTGAACACTTCTACATTAAAGATTTGAGTTCGGAATGACAAACAATATACATTCTTCACTAAGTTTTGAATTTCAGTAAATCCACATCATTGTTGCTCTTTTGAACTATCTACTTTGTGTAATAATAGTTTTAGTTTTGAAGACTAACTACATAGGGATTGTTCATTATGTTCATTAAAGATTTGACTTCGGGATGACAAACAAAAAACATTATTCACTAAGTTTTCAATTTCAGTAAATTCATATCATTGTTGCTCTTTTTAATTATCTACTTTGTGTAATAATAGTTTTAGTTTTGTTACTGTTTTATGTCATATAGCACAAATCATATCATGTTTATATAGGGGCTGTTCATTATGTTCACTGTGATATATTAATTGATCACACACATAGCGATTACATTTTTCATACTAGGATGCATTAAGACATTTGTGCACAGACACACATATATTAACAGATATCAAATCAGCACAAATAACACAGACGTAAACGTTGGGATTCGTTACTGTTTTATGTCATATTGCTGATGTTCATTAGGTTCACAAATCCAAACTTGTATGTATTTGTGAAGTGTTGTGTGTGTGTGATGTTCATTAGGTTCACAAATCCAAATTTGTATGCATTTCGCCAAAATCATCCATCGTTTTGATGAATATTATGAACCAAATTTTTTGCTAATGATATACACTATTGATCGTATAGATTGGCAGTTTCGTAGTTGATTGGAGGTTAYRAAATCKTYTRAATAATATAGGTTCACGATGTGATGCGATTTTTTTACAAAATTACCCTTTGAACAGTTGTTCATAGACATCTCATTTAATACATTAATTAAATGATTATTTTTGTAGTCTCATTTAATAAGGACCGTTTGATGAGAAAATGAACGATCAAGATCGGTTAGCATAGTTTGCACAATAGTTTGGGTTAGTATTTGAACTAGCCCCTATATATATATGTATGACTTGGGATCATGTGAGACCAAGGGTTTTTCGTGAGACCCGTAAGACCAATTTTCAATCCTTGGATTAGATCTACAATCTGAACATTCATAATTACAAAATTGCCACGAGACTTCTCAGTAATCATAAAATTGTCACCGTGTAACTTTAGACCATTAGATTATTAGCTTACAAAGTTGATCAATGAACATAAATTGGTCTTAACCCTTGATCTCACGTGAACCCAACCTTAATTATATATAGAGACACACACACACACATATATCTATACTATATTATAAAACGTTTGACAAAAACTCTTAAAAATCATTTTTTATGCATGAAGTATTATTTATTGATGTATATTACTTCAAAATCATGATTACAAGTAACTTGTGCGTAAGTACAACTTATTAAATCTTCATGTTTGAATTTGTATAACTAACTTCAGATAAACATAATCAAATAGAGGATAAACATTTCATTTTAAATATAAAAAACTAAAATATAATTAGGATAACTATTGACTTTTAACAAAATACTTAATTATTTTCTTTATAAAAATTATATTATTAAACCAAAAATAAAAAAATGAATTAAAGAAATACACAAAAAATGAGTAATTTTAAATAGTTAGTTTGGTACTAATATCAATATATATTTTTATTTTTTATAATATCTTCATATTTATATTTTATTCAAAAATAAAAACATTACTGCTTTCTCAAAACCACATAAAACCGTATTATAATATCGACTAAGAAAAAAAAAAACGAAACACTAAAATCGAGATGAATCTCGCTGCATTGTACGAATACCCTTCATATATATGTATATATATATATGTGTGTGTGTGTGTGTGTATATATATGTATGTATATATATATGTGTGTGTGTATATATGTATGTATATATATATATGTATGTATATGAATACTTTTCCTCTATCCATGTCCTAGTACTTTCACATAATTAAATGTAGAATTCTACCTTCATTTACCCCCACTATTCTCATTCTTCTATCGATTGTTACTTTGCAAATTGGTGTGTTTCCAATGCAACATTCATTCATAAAACAGATCTTTCTCATCCAAATTGAATGAAATCAAATAGCAACATATTTGATGTGATTCCTTGTTTTAGTAACTATATTTTCGAAAAATTTAGTTTGATATCTAAAACGTAATATCTCAAACATTTAGTTATATGAGTAACCGATTAAAAAAATAACTTGTTACCATGTTTATAGACGTATGATGTAGCATACCAGTCAGTATTTTCTTGTTTTCAATCTTTTTCATCATTTCATTAATTATGTTTATCCTCCCTCTCCCTTTACCTTTACCTTTTTCTTGTTCTTCACTTCTTATTTTTTAAATCAAAATTATTGGAAACCATAATAAACAAAACTCATAAATCTTGGCAAATTATCAAAATGACAATAACAACAATCATTTTGATCACATAAACAATAGCAAACCCTAAATGTTCATGAAAAATCAAAACCTCTTCATCAAATAATCAAACATCACTCTCTGTAATCACCCATGGAACCCTAGGAAATACAAAAATCATAAGAAACCATCCATTTACACTCTTGCGGTCACCTTCGTTGATATTCGCTACTTCAACAACCTTGCTTTTTTTTTTCTTGAATTGGTTTTGATGTTTGCTCTCGACTTCTTTGGGGCCTTTCAGGAGCGACTGCATATTCACGCTCCCAAGAATCTTTTACATCATTTTTAGCAACATCCTCATCATCCTATAAGTTAATAGGGACCTTTTTTTTTATAATCAATGGATCTATTGCATCCTCTCAATCCTCCGTCTTCTTTGCACTTTCCTTACTCTTGAAAGAAAAGTATAGTCTACTAAGGATGAGTCATGTATGAATTAAGCATGAATGCATTTTGATGAAGTTGGCATTGCAACAATGGCGATAAAAGGTTTTCGACGAGGTTTCATTTCCCTGGCTATGAAGAATAGAAGAAAGATGGGTTGTTAGTTTTTGTTATTCTTGTTCTTCATGTTCAATAATCATAAACCTAATCTAGTTTTGAATTTAAATCGGGGTTTGGGTTTGATATCTGGAAAGTATTAGATTTTGTGTTACAATTGAAGAAGATCAATGAAGACAAATATCAGGGTTTTGTGTAGAAATTAAATGAGAAATTAGTTTGAAAACCAACACATGTTTCAATTGCTTTTATAAATGTTTCAAGCACTTAGTATAGTTTTTATAAATAAATTAGTATAAAAATTCTGTAAAAATAATATTATTTTAAACTAATTTTATATTAAAAAAAATCTTTATAATTCAAATGAGCAAATAATACTAACTTGTATGTGATATCGTTTGTCACATCAACATGATAAGTGATCGATATTTCAAACAAACAAATCACCCAAACTACTATGCTAGACTTT